CTGAGAGACCAAAGAGGAGGAGCAAGGCAATGCCACCTTTATCTCATTAGCTTCCCAGAGAGAGAGAGACAGAGAGAGTTTCCGCTTATATCCTCTCTCTGCCCAGCCGTTTCACGTCCTCTCTCTGCCAAGCTGTATCACTTCCTGTCTGTGTAGACCTCTGTGGTTAGCTAGTGGCAAGCCCCATCCTCTGATCTCCAGACAGGCTTTATTTGTAGAAGCAAGATATGTTTGTAGTCCTGTGAGTATGTATGTAGAGGTCTACATCTGATGTCTTCCCTCTGTAGGTTTCATCTTATTTTTTTTTGAGACAGGATCTCTCTCTGAGCTCCAGGGATACTACTGTCTCTACCCTGCCCCCTGCCCCTTCGCTGGGGTTATGGTGCCATTATGCCCAGCTTTTCCTGTGTGTTCTGGGAATCTGTCTCCGGTCTCCATGCTTACATAGCATGTAGTTTACCAGCTGAGACATCTCTCCAAAAGCCCCCTCCATTCCTTCCGAGACTGGTTCTGTCACTGGGACATGAGATGCTGATTTGGCCCTTTATCTCACTAGAGCTTGGATTACAAAGGTCAGGTCCCTATGCTCAACTTTCCATGCATTTGCAGGGGATCAAACTCGGCACCCTCCCACATTTGCAAAGCAAAGAGTAAACATATGCACCTGCTTTCCCAGCCCTGAATCTTTTAATATATTCCACATCAGCCTCTGAGATTCTCACTCACTGTATAACTTCCTGCGCTGGTCTTGCCTGCCCTTCACGACTCTCCTGTTGATAAGGTCAGCGATTCCATCCACCGCCGTGCACCCTCAGGCTGCCCTTGATGCTCTACCGCCTGTTTCACGGTCTGAAGTTGGCTGAGGGTCTTGTTCTCACCAGGACATTCCACGTTTTCATTGCCGCTTTCCTGACTGCTTCCCAACAAAAACTGAGTGAGGTTCCCCCTCAGAGGTCACTGTCTCGTCGTAAGTGGGATCTAAACAGACTGTTGACTCAACAGATAAAGTAAAACGGAAGGTTTTGCTAACACACTGAGCGTTGCTAAGTCATCTTCCTGCAAATGGCCTGAAGCTTTATTCATCAGGAAGCTGATTTGGAGCTGGACAACGGTGAAAAATCAGGCTGCGAGGTGACTGAACACTCACAGAAAATACGATTGCCATTGCATTTTAAAAGAATCGTTAGGTAAACTTCAGCATATGAAGAAAAATGAGCACTCTTCCTGAAATGCAACTATTTTCAGTCATCGAGTAGTATTATTTAAACAGAAAAACATGCCTTCTCTTGGGTTGTCATTTATGAAGGAGTGGACCTAAAAAAAAAAGAGCAGCTGACTGGGCTAATAAAGTCCGTACTACATGGCGAATGGTTAGTTCTGTGAAGGAAAAATAAAAGCATCACTTAATATGTCTTGTGAGTTCAGTAGGTGCCCAGACCTCTGAGGCTCTGTTCTTTCCCTCCGTCATGAACTTTCCAAGGAGTCTACTTTGAAATAGACATTTCTCCTACAAAGTCTGATACGTTAATATTCCAGAGGGGGGGGGGAGAGGGAGTGTGTCACATTTTGTGATGTAGATTTTTGAAGTTCGAAGGGGATTAAATTCTAAATGTCTCGGCTGCTGAAGGCCCCTCCAGACTTCGCCCAAATGAGGAACAAGGAAGGAATGAACTTTGCCTAAAGCAGTTCATGAGAACTACTTGGGCACAGTGGCATCCTCTTGTGCTGGTGAGGATAAGTTGCCCCCAAGTAATTCAAGGGCTTGCAGCTGCTTAGAATATGGAGAACGATGTCTCTAGTCTTTGTCAAGCTTTTCACATGTCCTAATGAGTGCTCGCCCACTAGCTTAATTAAAACCCATCACTTCTCCAACAGTTAGGAGCTGACAAGCTGGGTCTGTTGGTAAAGTGCTCGCTCTGAGCATCCACACCTGAGTTTGGTCCCCAGAAGCCATGTCAAAAGCAAGATGGCATAGCACGAGCCTCTCATACCAGTCCTGGGGAGACACTGCAGAGATGGGGGCACTCTGGGGCTCGTGGCTAGGAAGCCCAGCTGAATTAGTGAGCTCTGCATTCAGTGAGAGACCTCATCTCATAAAAGTGGGGAGTTATTAGGTAAGATGTCCAGTGTGACCTCTGGCTTCTGTGTGCACACACACACGATCGCATTGTGTGACCTCTGGCTTCTGTGTGCACTCACACACAATTGCATTGTGTGACCTCTGGCTTCTGTGTGCACACACACACAATTACATTGTGTGACCTCTGGCTTCCAGCTGCATGCATGCATACAGTCATGCACACACACCAAAGAATTTAACAGCTGACAGTTACAACCTAACAATCACCTTCCGCTTTTGAAGAGTTCCTTGCTGCCTGACTGCTCAGTTTTCCGTGTACCCAGCCTTAGAGGAATGGTCGTTTTTATGTTCTGTGCGTCACGAAACGTCTGTTGACCCAAGCCTTTCACACCATCCACTGATAAGTACTCAACCTTTGTTTGCTCAAGTGTAATTGGCGGTTGTTTTTTTTTAACCTTAAAGCTGTTCTGACGGCTTCTTCTGCCACACCGCTGTTGGTGAAACTGATCCGAGTGTGGATCGCCTCGACATGGTGACTAGCGCGTGGCAACTGTGGGACAAATTGTTTATGATGTTTAGCATCATCTCCCATCGTGGTGTACATAGCAGCCTTCTTATCAAATGACCTGAAGGTTCTGACAAATAGTGGCCCAGCCTCTGCTCTTCCCCGTGGCTGGAAAGCTCATAGTGTGTCTCCCTCTCCCCCATCCACAGGGACCCTGTTTGGATGCTGTCGACTCAGACAGGCAAGGCCAGAACTTGTCCCTCCTTAAGAACAGTAGACCTCCCTTCTCTGGGCTCCTTAGTGGCCTTGTCTGACACACACCGTCTTATTGTCCACCTTCCTTGCTAGCTCTGGTGACACTTTGGAGCCTATTCTGCCTGGTTGGTTTCCTTTTCTCTCCCAGAACCTTCCCTCGTCTACAGTGGGCATGATCTCCGAGGCGTGGCTACATCTGTGTGTGTGTGTGTGGTGTCCTCTACGTGTGTGTGTGGTGTCCTGTGTGTTGGTGCTCAGTTCACTGCCCCATGTGTCAGAGCGCCTAAGCCGTGGTCTTGTCTGGGGCCGTGGGCATGGCAGAGGTGACCGCTGGAGAACACATGTTTGCATCAGGCCGTGCTGTCCTTGCCTTGCAGAGCTGAGGCCCCCGCCTTTCTCTAGTGAAGTTTCAGTATGCTCTGGGTCTGCGCTGTGAGTTGCTTTCATGCCAAACAAGAGTGGTGTTGCATTAGACAGAGGGAGAAAGAACCTGCTCACCATAACAGAGTGGGGGGGGGCGCTGGAGGTCTGCACTATGGAAAGGGTAGCCCTGGCCACTGGGACCACAGTTCCAAGTGCAGCACAGAGGGGGAGGTACCTGCTTCCCACTCCGCAGCCAGCCCCCTCTTTACTCGTAGCCACAGGAGGCAGACACGGATTCCAGGGGCACAGGCTCTTGCTGCTGTGACTTCATCCTATTTCGAGAGGCTTCCCCTTGGAAGCAGATTGGTTTACTTTCGTCTCCTGTGTATGCATTTCGTATGTGTAGCTGCTGTGCTGTTGTGAATGGAGGCTTGGCAAGGGCCCTCAATGCCTCTGCCCCCCCGGGCCCTTAGACATGCAAGTTGGGCAGCTAAGAGAAGCACAGAGCCTTGCTGGGCTCGGGAGTAGACCAATGCACAGGTCACATCTGGGAGTCCTCCAGAGTGGCTGCTGGTTTGGATGGTGACCGAGAGAGAGAGGTGTTCCTTCCCCCTCACTTAATGGGTGGCTGGCCTTTTGGGTTTTAGTTGGCCGTCTCTTCTGGCCCCTTTATACTCAAGATCCATCACCTCATTTAGGCTGTGGCTGGGCCACGTGGCAGGGTTGCGGACATAATGATTCCTCAGGAGAGTGAATTAAAGTGTTTCTTCATGATTAGAAGAAGGTTAAACGAGGTAAGGCTGTGGTGGTTAGTGGAGGGGGGTAAGGGGTGCTGAGGAGGCAGAGCTTGGGGTAGGGGACGACTCTCGGGTGATTAGGAAATTAGGCTGGCTGGATGGAGGGATGTGGATTTTACAAATTGCAGGAGCTGAGACATGATGGTGGCTACTGATGCTGGCTCTGTCTGCTGCCTGGATTGAGCTGTGACCCAGGGTGTAGGTAGCATGGCTGTTCTGAGGTGTCTTTTCTCCCTTGAGAAGTTCTTGAGCTAATCACATCAGGAAGTAACAGGTCGCAAGCCCAGCTGTGGTGATGACGGATGGCCAGTCATCCTCAGAAACTCTGGCTGCCCTTCGGCTTGGAGCCGGCTCAGAGGTCAAGCCCAGTTTGGGGCCAGCAGGGGTGTGATGTAGCAGCTCTTCCATGGTTCTGTTCTGTGTCTGATCTGGTGTTGACTTTCCCTCTGACTCCATGGCTACTGAACTTCTGGTCCACAGAGAAGAGCTCCCAGAGAGCCAAGGGCTCTACCTTCTGGCTCCCTGGGTAAGTTACTGCAGCTTGCTGGTTTCCTCAGGATTCCCTGTACCACTGGTGCTGTCTCAAGGTCAGCTCTGAGGCTTACGTCTGCCCCTTCCGTCTAAACTGAGGATCCTGAGTCTTGCTCACTATTTACCCCCACCGTTGCAGTTTCCACCCTTGGTTTGCAAGACCTGGACCAAAAAGGCCGGTGTCCTCTCATTTCTCTCTCCTCCCCGTTACAAAGTACCACCACCCATGTTGGATTTCGACACAGCTTTCATCTTTAGAAAAATCCCAACAAGTGAACGACAGCAACAAAAGTCCACATTGGTTTTTGCTGTCTCCCAGACTCAGGGCGCACACGCAGCGTGGTGCCCAGGGTGGCCCAACATAGCTAATCCCTTGTGCCTGCAGCTTTCCATCTGCACACAGAGAGAGACTGGTTGGCTCCCACAGGGAGCCCATGCTTGTGTCCCCTTGCCTGCTTCTTCCATCTAGAAAGATCTGCTTACGCAGCGCCCCTACCAACCGGAACATGTGTCGCGTCAAGCCCCACATCAAGTATGCACCACCGCCGTTTCTCACCCCAGCCAGACGCAGTCGCCCCAACTTTTCTCCCTTTGAAGTATGTATTCAGGGGGATGGTTCTTAGGCTGCTGTGGTACAGCCTTCGCTCTTCCGGTGCTTAACGTTTCCAGTTTGCGTTGTGCATGGGAGAGAGTTTTCTGTTGATGGAACCTTCTGGATGCAGACCCAGAAGCTTAAGGCGGGAGGAAGCTGGGTCATACGGGATGTGAGGGAGTCATGCGTTTCCTTTAAGTGTCCGCTGCGTTCCGTGTACGATTTGAGGTGAGAAACTGTGCAGAGGGCACGGACGCAGAGAGCCCCCGTGACAAGCACAGCCAATGGCTTCAGGAATTGAGAAGCATGTGGTGGGAAAAGAAATTACACTGTAGGAAATGTAAAAGAGCCTTCACAGCAGCAGTCCTCAACCTTGTGGGCTTGTGACCCCTCTTGAGGGTCGGCTGACCCCCTTCGGAGGTTGTATATCAGGCATTTATTTACATTATGATTCAGAACAGTCGCAGAATCACAGTGATGTTGCATCAGTGAGAATGACCTTTAGTTGGGGGCCACCAACATGGGGGACTGTGTTGTGTTGCAGATTAGGAAGGTGCAGAGCACCCCCCTTTAAAGCAAAGGGAGCCGATGAGAGTCTGGCAGGCTGGTGGTGGGGGAGGGAAGCCGAGGGATGGAGAAAGGCCTCCTGTGGTTGGACATGCTGGCAGGAAGAGGGAGGCAGGCTCTGAGAGTGTAAGTGTCTGCCGCCTGCTCACTAATTGATGGCTCAGTTTCTGCTCCAATGGAGATACACCCTGAAAGACAGAACCCTTGATTCTTCTGAGAGAGAAACCGATAGCCACCTCCACCCCACCCCTACCCCCACCTCCATCCCCACCCCCATCCCTGCCCCACCCAACCCCTCCCCTGCCCCGCCCTACCCCACCCTGTGGCTGCTGCTAGTTGAGGGTCATTCACTGTCCCCCGCTTTGTCCCCCACTGTTTTGCAGAGGAAGTCTGTGCTCGCGGTGAGCCTCACAGCCCTGTGCCTCGTGCTGCTAGCCATGCGCCTCATCACTGACATGAATTTCCCTTCGCTGCTGAGCTGCTTTGGACAGCCTGAGACCAAGTGGATCCCATTGTCCTACTCTTCTAGGCAGCCTCTTCGAACTCACTACGGATACATAAACGTGAGGACCCAAGAGGTAAGACCTGAGAGGGTTGCCTGGGAGAGTATCCATGGCAACTGTTTTCCAGTTAGGAGCAAGATGGCTTCCGAGTCATCACATTTACACGTTTCTGTCCCACCGGGATCCTTTGGGTCCCTGACAACATTTTCTGTTTTCCTATTCTCAGACACTTCTGACACATGTCTGAAATGCTTCACCCCATCCCACATCAAACCTCTAAATCACTGGCTTCCTAGGGAGCTGTGGAGGCAATTACCTGTTTTCCTGGTGGTGTGAAGCTTAACATACATGTCTTTCCATTTAATTGCTCTGATCAGTGGCCGACGGCTGGAGGGCTGGCTGGCTTTATTTCCTGTAGGTCACCTGTTGGGGACAGCTCTTTACAGAATTTGAGAAAAGCATTTGTCCCTTTATAACTCTGTCGTCCTTAGACCTAGAGCTAAAAAAAAAAAAAGGAAAGAAAAAGACCAAACTGAATTTTAACATTCGCAGTGGCTGCAGAGATAATGGGATTCAACACTTTTATAAATCTTCCTGGCCAGTTGGTGTCCCAGGTGAGCGTGGCTGGATATTGACAGCTAGGAAGAGTATACCAGGCTAAAAGGGTGTGTGTGTGTGGGGGCACTTTTAGGATGAGCTCCTCAGGCACTGTGTGCACTTTTCATTTTGACAGTGAGACAAAGGAGTTCTCTGATCTAGAGCTTACAGCTTTGGATAGGCTGATTGACCAGGAGCCCAGTAACACACCTGTTTCTGCCTCCCCAGTGCTGGGATCACAAGCACATGCTACCACATCAACTTTTATCTATCTATCTATCTATCTATCTATCTATCTATCTATCTATCCATCCATCTATATGTTTATTTATTCCTGTTTGAGGATCTCATGCATGTATGTGTCTTGATCGTACCACTCTGACTTCACGAACACTTCTTTTGCAAACCCACCGAATACTATCGGCTTGATCACGTGTGTGTGCCAAGGCCTCCGTGAATTCTAAGTGCGACGGCCCCCGCTATGTGCAGAGAGCACCTTCACAGCAGTCCCCAGGACTTTAACTGACGTGCTCATGCTCACAGGGAAAAGAAGTACTTGCTGGTCAAGCCAAATCCCCCAGACTTACCTTTAGAGTTCAGTCTCATAAAGTACAGAAGGGGAAAAAAAAGACCCTCAAACATGACGGGAATCGCACAGAGGTAGTGAGACTATTTCCACAGTCGTTTCCGTGGGGACTGGGTACATGGGAGGTGCATTGGTGTGGATGCAAAGCCCAGGCCTGTTTGAAGACCTTGGTGACAAAGGCACAGTCCCTCGGGTGTCACACCACCGAGGAGAATTTGGGGAGCAAGGTCCTGCTGGAGGGCTCTTGGTAAACACCCTGGACAGGGGGTGCCAGGCATCTCTTCTGTGGCCAGTGGCATGCCTGGGCTGGCGCCCTCCGTTCATTTACTCTTCCAACATCGTATTTGTATCTCCCGGATTTACAGACTGTTTATTAGACCTTTATAGTTGAGGGGAGGCACCATTAATAATGTATAAATTCCCCCAGAGTCTTGCTTGATGTAGATCCTCTAATTGGTTTTAAATTAACTTTTGGAAGTCTCTTGCCTGGATTTGCCCAGTGCCCTGATAAATTGATTACCTGTATAAAAATGTGCCTTTTAGAGAGGAGCTCGCCTCTCTTGTCTCGGGTTACTTTTATGTCTCACTGTCACTTAATATCCTATAGTTCTGCAGTATTTGTTAATCATGTCACAAGTGCCTGTCACAGGCTGAAAATGGAACACATGGATGAAAGTGTCTCATGAATTTATGCTTAGGAGAAATGTACCACTGAGTAGTAAAGCCCTTGGATTTGTCTTAGTATTTGGGAAGCAAGTTTAGGAGTAGTCCCAGCCACTCCCTGCCCCCACTCCCACGATGGACTGTGCCCTCTCAAACCATGAGCCCAAATAAACCCTTCTTCCCTGAAGTGTCATATTTACAGGCGTTTGGTCATAGCTATGGGAATAGTAACTAACACAGTCCTCCAGGTAAAATTATAATAAGTTTATTATGCTTTCCTCAGGTTAACCTGTGCATTGATGTGACTGTTGCTTGTGTCCCTTTATGAAGAGCAACAAAGGGAGTGGCTTCCTTTTCTGTACCTTAGGGGGGTCATGACTTGAGGCTCTCGGAGCGTTGATTCAATTACCTGTTGCTCAGTTCTGTGACTTTGGTTGGGAAGGTCTTCTCATCCTCTCTTGTACTCAGGGAAAGACTGCGCAGAGGATATTATTTAGAAGGAACCAGTGCATGACCTCGAGGGGGTGACAGGGGATCACAGAGGGTGGGGGAGAGGTGCTGTCTTGGAGATCACATAGGCGGATGGAAGGCCGCTGCCTCTTCATAACCTTCCTGTCTAGCCTAGAGCTTTGCTTCTTGCTCTCTGAAGAGTTTATTGAAGGCAGTAAAGCAACCCTCCCTGCACGACCATGAAAAGCAGAATGGACCGCAGTAGGGTGCCCTCTCCTCGCCTCTCCTCCATCTCCAAACCAATGCGAGCTCGGGTTCCTACTGCTGAGTGAGAGAGAACAGAGATGTGGAATCAACACCGCTGACACGGGGTGAGGGCTGAATTCCCAGCATCTCTGCTGGTCCTTGAAGCTGGAGTCCTCACCACCACTGTGACTGAGCTGACGGCTGCCACTCTTGATAGCACCTGTAGGACCTGCAAGGGCGTGCGTGGACTTTGCAGCACGTGCTGTGTCTCATGGCGGACCCGTAACTTCTCAGGCTTCCCCTACTGTCTCTTCATTATCCATACAGCAATCCCTTTATTTATTTATTTATTTATTTATTTATTTATTGTGGCAGAAGGGTTTATTTCAGCTTAAACTTCCAGATCACAGTCCTTTATTGAGACAGGACAGGAACTCGAGCCAGAGTTGAAGTTGAAGCCATTGAGGCACACTGAGTGCTGGCTGGCCCTTCCAGCTTGCTCAGCCAGCCAAGGATGGGTGCGGCCCACGCTCTCTTAGTCATCAATCAGGAATCTTGTTCGGAGAGAGCCACAGGCCAATTGATCTGGGCCAGTCTTGGATTGGGTTCCCTCTTCTTAGGTAGTTCTGTCGGTTGACAATAAAAACCAACCGGCATGACCCACTCCTCTTTGTCAGCTTGACAAACATGCACGTCACCATTAAAACATAACGGTTTCCTTCCTCATCTGTCACCAAGATCTCATTTTATATCATGATATCATGATATAAAATACGATAGAACTTTAAATGCCCCATAGTATTTTCAAAATTCCAACATGTACATATTTTTTTTTATCAAGAGTAAGCACAAAGTACCATTCTGTGGCATTAAGGCAGGGTTGACCATGTTATAACTCACGATGGTCATGGTTTTAAAAATCATGTCATCCACGGGGATTTAAAGAAGACACACCTTTACGCCTGGCATCATCCTGTAAATGGTGTTGCTTTCTAGGAGTTTGTGTCAAATTATTAGTTGTAGCAGATAGGGCAGCATGAAGATTTGGTTCCAGGCATCACTGTTCCTCCTCGTGTCGGTCACCATAAATGAAGGGGAAAGAGAGGAGTTAACTTTGGGCTGGGTTCCCGTCTTAGTTTCCTACCCTTGGCTTGGTCACTGTCGTGAAGTGATGCATTGTGAAGGCATTGCTGAGGGCAAGCCACCTGTAGATCATTTGCATTTGAGTACTAGAGAATTAGGCGCTGATGAGTGAGAGGAGGCTGCAGCTAGACATTTCTGGTGACCGGTTTCATGGCAGCTGTCTCCCCCAGATCTGGTAGAACCAGAAAGTGCTAGAATTGAGGAGAATGCCGGTGTTTGGAAGCGTACTCCTCCTTTCCCTCGATGTTTAGGGAGAAGTCCTGGCATCCAGAATGCAGAGTCAAGGATAGAACTGTTTTTTTTTTTCAGGCTCCTAACAATGTATCTAGACTGAAGTGCATCTAGACTTGATAACAATGTATCTAGACTTGAAGTTCCCCTTCAAAAACCGGGAAGCTTAGAAAGCCTTAAGTAGACAAAATACGAATACCTCCTCATCAGTTCCTATGACAGGCAGGCCACACTAGTCTAATTATAGATGCACATAACATATTGATGTTGCAATAGAATTTCCTAAATTGTGGTTATTATAACAATTAAGGAACAAAGCTGACTTTCTTGGCAAATAAAAGAACAGGCTCACCACATTCAAATAAACGAGCACTTGTAACTAAGACTAGCATGAATGGGTTTTTTATGTCTGGGTATATAGGCTTTAGATTTTACAGAAGTATATGGAGAGCAATTATATGCAGATGGATGCTCCCAAAATTTTAAACTGATCAACTTAATTGTTAACTAAATTTTGGATATTCCCATTTGTGTAATTATAAAGAAAAAGAAATTGCAACTCTTAAGTTGCCTTACAGAAAGAAACAAATTAATGTATAATAAAAGTTACTTGTTTGACATGTGCACATTGTAGTTGTCATTTCAAACATGACATCATTTTTCTAAGGACTTGAGGGCATCTCTCTGTTGAGCAGAGGAGGGATGATTTTATTTCTTTCAGGCAGGCTGTGCGATAGCAACCCTCAGTCAAAAAACAAATGTCAAGGCAATGTTAAGACTAAATGCAAAAGAGAGGGTTGACATCACCAGGGGTTGAGGCAATTCCAGGGTGGTTTTGTGGCATAGGAGACTGTCCACTTGACACACTCTACACTCGCCAGTGAAGAGAGTCCAGTGAGAGGGACTGTCAAGGCTTGGTGGTGGGTGGCCATGCCTGTTTCCTGTTAGGTTAATTCAAATGGGAAGAACCATGCCTGTATGTGGGCAGCACCCTTTCGTTTGGCTGGGCTCTGCCACTCCCCCTCCTCCCCATCCTCCTCCCCCTTCTCCTCCACTCTTAACTGGGACACAGTGTGACCAGCTGGGTTTTTTTTTTTGTTTTGTTTTTGGTTTTTCGAGACAGGGTTTCTCTGTGGCTTTGGAGGCTGTCCTGGAACTC